GAAGGGTCTAGGCCCGAAACGTCAGCCTCTCTGCTCCTATGATGCTGCTTGGCCTGCTGTGTTCATCCAGCCCTGCACCTTGTTGTCTCGGATTCTCCAGCATCTGCAGTTCCTACTATCTCTGTAGTTTAATTGGGCTTTTTAGAAAAAATCAATCCAAAGCACTGGCATTCAAGAAGAAATTGAAGACAGGTAGATTTGATGGACCACACTTGGAGTGCTGTGAATAGTACTGACCTCTATATTACAAAAGGATATAGAGGCACTGGTCAAATTGTAGAGAAGAATTATTCAGGTTAAACCTGGAACTATAAGGTTATACTCATCAGGTGAGCTTGACCAATCTTTAGTAGAGAGATGACTGAGGAGTAACCTGAGGAGATCCTTAAGATTACGAAAAGATTTGATAGGATAGCTGTAGCAAAGATCTTTCCATTTCTGAGTGAGAGCAAAACCAGGAATGCTAAATATAAGATAGAGATTAATAAATGTAATGGGGACTTGGGAGAAACAACTGTATCTAGAGCAAACATAAACAGAAATTGCTGGAAATTCAAAGTCTGAGGAGCAAAACAGAGTTAATGTTTTGAATCCAGTGCCCCTTCCTTTCTTCTCAAGGAGGGTCACTGGACTCAAAACATTAATTCTGTTTCTCTCTCCACAAATGCTGCCAGACCTGCTGAGTTTCTCCAGCACTTTCAGTTTTTATTTGTTTCTCATCTCCAGCACCTGCAGTTCTTTATCCACTTTACTTAGACAGTAGTTATGATGTAGAACTGGCTACCATAAAGAACCGTTGAGTTGGCTTCCACTGAGGGAAGATGTGGGAGAAAAGCTTAGGAGGAAATGTGATGGGGTTTAGAAGGAGAATGAGAGAAATTTCAGGTGGATCATAAACACTTGAACATTTTGATTGGCCCAAATGCCTGGATTCTGCGCTGCAAATATCGTGAAACGAATTGCAAAAAATATCGGCATGCATTTTGGATGTGATAATACATTTGAGGACTTTGGACTGGAAAGGGATGTTGAAGAAGGAACTGTAGTTTCCGTAAGACCATAAGATGTAGGAGCAGAAATGGGCCATTTGGCCCATTGAGTCTGCCCCACTATGGATGCTGTGTTTCTCAACCCCATTCTCCTGCTTTCTCCCCGCAACCCTTGATCCCCTTACTAATCAAGAACCTATATATCTCTGTCTTAACTATACTCAATGACTTGACCTCCACAGCCTTTTGCAGGAATGAGTTCCACAGATTCACTTCATCTCAGTTCTAAAGGGTCATCCTTTCACTCTGAGGCTGTGCCCTTGGGTCCTAGTCTCTCCTATTCGTGAAAACATCTTCTCCATGTCCACTCTATCCAGGCCTCTCAGTATTCTGTAAGTTTCAATGAGATCCCACCCCCATCCTTCTAAATTCCATCGAGTACAGGCCCAGAGTCCTCAACCGCTCCTCATATGAGAAGCCCTTCATCCCCAGGATCATTCTTGTAAACCTTGTATGGACCCCCTTTGATGTCAGCACATCTTTCCTTAGATACAGAGCCCAAAATGGTTCACAATATTCCAAATCTAGTTGACCACAACCTTAAACAGCCTCAGCAGTACGTCTGTGCTCTTGTATTCTCGTTCTTTTTGAAATGAATCTAATATTGCATTTGTCTTCCCAATTCCAATATACAGGATTTGAAAAACAACACGGGTTTCAAAGGGAAGATGCATAATACCGTAGGAGAGAGATAAATGATGCAAGTTAAGAAGCAAGATGGGGGATTGGAGAGAAAAACTAAAAAAAATCTTCACAGCTAGGGCTACTGGTGGTGATCCTTATGGGAGGTAAATCAGCAACGTGGAGATGGCTGAATAGATGGTCTCATCCTTAGTGACAAGAACGTCCATGAGCAATTCATATTTGTTGGATGTGAGAGTGAAGGGTGCAAGAGGTGGGGTTTAAGGAGGTTGTTGGCAATCGAGAAAAGAAGCCAGAATTCACACTATTCACTTGTGGCTTAAGAAGGTTTCCAATAGATACAAAAAGTTAACCAGCTTATCACTGAGTCTTCGCCTCTCATACTAATGAAAAATCTCAACCTTACATTTTTCAGCATTGGGCCCTTAAGAATTTGGGCTCATTCTGTATTTGAAAGCCTGTCAAATGCCTAAAGGCAGTGTTACTAATGAAGAAAATCCTTTTCTGATTAGTGAACAGCAAGAGAAATGCTAATGAGTCAACAAGGGAGAAAAATAAAGAAATCTAAGACAGACTGAGAGAAATTTGATATTCTTGTGGGCTCACTGGGTTTCCCTTGGGACCCCCACACTCTAGCTTGGCAAAGTATAGACAAGGTTAAGAGGTATAAAATAGCTCGCTGTGCCAAAGTTATTGCAAATATGATATGCGTACAAAAAAGATTCTTTGAGTTTGGTTCTCACATTAAATTTCATATTAAACTTAGCACGTACAGAATATTTATTCCCCTATACCTTTTGAAAACTAGAGAAGTAATACAACCCAGATTGTAGTTGGATGTTTATGGTCTATGAACTTTGGGTTCCTACTTATTTATTGGTTTGCCCAAGATATTGTGGTGAATTGACTTATGACAAGATGCAGTTTCCAAATTTGCATTCATCTGTTGAACGTTTCCCTGCCAATGTCAACTCCTGGAAATGTGAGGAGCATGATAAATGGAAATGTAAAAACAAATTGAGGACTGTCACACAAATGAAAGGGGAGAAAGTCATAGTATTGGATTGTGATAGACTGTAAGGAGAGCAGTTTAATGAATGATTCTCTGGTTGAATTGGTGATCTTACC